ATTTATGCGGTTGGAAAATCCGGGCACCTGCTACCAAGGGTACAGTAAACTATATAACTATAAAAAAGCTACAGGTTGCCGATTCCTCTACACATCTGCCACTCGTTTATTTATACCACTTACAAATGAATTGACTACATATCAATATCCTATGATAACATTATACACCTGGCTGTGCCGGTTGATCTTGGCCCGCAGAACCCTTCCCTCCAGATGTGAGAGTCCAGGTACCCACGGAACACCAGCAGAAATCGCTCTCAAGCTGACAATCGCCGGCGGCAATTCAGAATCTAAGAACCCGCCGAGCTGTAGTATTTCTGCAATTGGTGCCGTTAGACTACTGTGCACCGAATGTTCCACATAAGAATGCTCATGTAAGATATCACAAATAAAGTTGGTTTAACATGTACCTGGCATAAATATGTAGGAGTTCCATTAACCACCTTATATTTGCTGTAGGACTTTGGATGACTTTTGAAAGATTTTGACGATGTGCTAGCAGAGTAGCAGTTTCGCTCTTGTTCTCTCTATATAGGAGAGCGATCTACCCACGCGGTCATTACTATTTGTTGCTTGCCCAGAAGACGTTTACAGGATGTTATCCTTTGCACATTTTATGTCAGTTTATCTCTGGTCAGTGTATGCATTATATATGATGTTCACGTTGCTCGTTTACTTACTTCTTCTTAGCGGTCTTCTCCCGGTTCTCCTCCCTCCTTCCTCTTTCTCCGTTGTCCGAAAGTCTAACAAGGACTCCCTGGGGATTCCGCAAAGGACCGTTGCTCAAACTGGGATTAACCTGCACACCTCACCCAAGCCTATCGCGGATAGCTAGATACCCAGCCCTCAACATTCGGAGAAGTATATTACGACAGAAAAATCCTAGCCTCCGTTTACGGATATCACTGTCGCCACCACCTTGTTGGTGTGTTGTTTGTCGAAGAAAACGGCAGATGTACCTAAAGATTCTATCATATTGATTCATACAACTGACAAATATATGAGTAGCAAGTTATGAGTAGTAAAGTTCTCTAGCAATTTCCTTGGATGAGGAGTGGCGTAAAACAGGATGTATTCTGGATACGACAACCTCGCTATGGCTTCAAATACCGCTGCCACCCATACGCTCATTGAGACCGGCGAGTAGACACTGATAAAGTATCAGTGCCACTGGAAAGGGGTTGCCCGCCATCCTAATGAAGGCAAAAGACGAAGACTATTGGGCCACATACATTCCGGGGTGTATTTCAAGGTTGGTAGGCTTGGAACTTCGTTTAGAATAACCGGGTTCCACAAGGTGCATAACCACGAAGTTCTGGGAGACGAAGCATTAAAGTGCTTCAGTAGAAACCGTCGCTCACAGCCGGATGAGCTAGAGATAACCAGGCCAATGCTGGATTGCCGAGGTCGATGTTTCAACATCCTGTTCCACGTCAGATCGAAGTACGAAAAATACCTGACGAACGCGGACATCCGCAACCTTCGAGCGAGGCCTCCATGCCTCCATGAGCGTGCCTCGCATAGTCGAGAATAAAATATTTATTTATTTATTTATTTATATAGTGGTGCAACAATCCAGGTAACGTGTTTTTGATTGGGTAGCTTAAAATGCATTATTTTAGGACATGCACTGGACATGGAATCACAGTTTAACCAGTGAAGGTGAACCCGGTGTTTTTGTGACGAAAACAATCGGATCACGTAATCCGTCTACACCACACCCGAGATACTGCAAGTGTACTTCTGGTTGCCCGACTTTTTGCTTATAGTTAGCTGCTTCTCCACAAACCTACAGATATCATATTACCTACTGCTTATTGTCGGTGGGCGTCGAAAACGACTGCCGGTTGCCACTGCTTTTCTCTGGCGGTAGAAGGAGAGTGGCGTCAGGACCTTCCTCCTCACGTTCATTAAGTTTGTTGGTGGTGCTTCTGGCGTCAAGTGCATCATGTCCGATGGTCACTGGCCATTGCGAACGCTGTACATAAGCTACTTTCTTTCACACATCATTTCGTATGTCGTCCATACATAATAAGAAATGTTATCAAACGTTTTCCACAATCCACTTCATTCAACGTTTTTTCATCGCGATATACACTTTCAACTTTTGAAAATCTTTAGCTAATTTGGAGCTCATTTGTAATAATACCTGCCAGTGTGAAGTTATGGGCTATGACTTTATTCGGTGGCGAGTCACATTCGCCACGTTGCAGTTTTGTTAAACGGACATTTGTGGTTTTTATAAGGAGAACGCTTGCCATGCGAAAACCCACCACGTCCTAAAACATTGTCGCCGATCCATGGAATGGCAAGTTGTAACTGCTGTTTCTTATTAAACGTTTGTTTGCTTCGTTATTCGCAGTCAGTTTGCGTCCCATTTTTCTGCTGGCTGATGCGCTAGGCGTGTGGCCATTGCGTGCCTGGGTCCAGTCCTGTGCCAGATCGGTAGGTCGGGAATTAAGCATTCTTTCTGGACATAATGTGTTGATCAACTGCAGAACCACGTGAAGTCGCTGAAGGATATACATTGAAATATGGTGAAGTCTTGAAGGATAGGATATTTTGAAGAATTAATCGTAGATCCCCTGGGGTACGTAGTGAAGTTGATTAGAAATATAGAAAAACCACGGCCGTTTGAGCGGTCAAAGCGGCTTGAAG